TTTGTGGTTATACCTAACGATTGATCGCTAGATCGTCCAGTTTTTGTACAATTTATCGTTACGTGTAACCGGGCCTCTAGAGTTACAAAGTTCTACCTGACATTTTTGGCCGTTTTGAGTCACCACGGCCATGGAGTCAAAAACCAAGTGCTCGATGAAAATCGTAATATCATTCGGAGTCGTTATCAAGATACTCAAAGAATTGCGTTCGAAAAAGCTTGACATGATGTAAGACTCAAACTGTTGGACGTCAAATTTCTCAAATCTACGTACTGAGAAGATAGAACTTTGCAATTCTAAGGTAGCGACATGAAGACTGCCAATCAATATCAGTGATGACCAAAACAGAATACATAATATAGCTTTGGCAGAGCGGTAATCATAAAGGATTTCCTAAATTATAATATCTGCATTATTACATGTATTTTTAGCACATACCCACGCTCTCCAGCATATTATTACTCTATGCGATTTACGACCATTACTGCACCATCGGACCGTAGACCACTCAGAAACATTCTCGGCTTCCAAGGAATCATACGGTGGAAGCTGCAGCCTAGATTGCAAGCGCCCAAAGACTGACAAACTGACAAGGTCTTTAGCTGTCTGAAACCGATTACCGATTCCCACCTGGGTGAAGTGAGGACAATTCGTCTACAGTGCCTTTTGCAAGGACACAACATCAGGTCCCTGACGTACTTCGAACCCACTACCTATTACGACTGCGAGTCCTAGAGCCTTAACCACTAGATAGTACCGACTATACTAGTTCCTTCCCTTCAGATCTTGAAGCAGCGTCTGTGGTATTGCAGTTAGGTGCTTCCCTGTCGCACTAAGAAGACCCAAGTTCAATTCCTGAATGGGGATAACTTTTATATAGTATTAATATCCGGCTTTCTGCTGGGATAATGTATCCCTCTCAGTCCCGGTTGGCCCTGACATGCTGGATCGGAAGCCCATAATCTCCTAAATAATCTAACTTGTGTCCTTAGGGCGAAAAAACATCAACATTATTATTTACATTTTTTAAAGATCTTGACTTACTTCAATGATAATAATAGGCCTCAGAGGGGAGACAAGGTCAGTTCGACTGGAACCAAGGAAGGAGTCCTATCTTTTAGGTGTGATTGGAACAATTTTCTTGGTTGTGAATTTTTAAATTTCGTCCGAGTGGCAGTCTAATAGTATACTCTTCTGCAATTTTCAATCACCAAGGAATATTTTTACTAGCGCAACATGCACATGGGCCGGGAGATTTTGTCATTATCCAAGGATACTGGGTGCACAATCTTACCTAACATCACACAACTCTAGCTGGAATAAGTGTAGACGTTAAAAATGTAAAAAAAGAATATCTGAGAAGAAGGAGATCAGAGAGACTATGACAAAGAGGATGAGGATGAGTAGGAGAATAAGATGAAGACAAAGAGGGAGAAGAGAGAGGGGAAGCTCAGGGTTGGGTTTAGTTCCAACTTCCATCCAGCAGACATATATGACCAAAAATCTCAAGACAGAATCAGGATGTTCCAATTACGAGTTTTTTTTTTTTTTTTTATTGTCCATATGAAAACTTGAAAGGCGAATGAACAGGAAAAATATAATAGCATCCCAAGAATGAATCTTCAAAGATAGTTAAAC